AAATAGAAATCTTTTGTAACATTATAATCTTTTTGATCAATTTAAAGCATCCTTGCTAAATAAAAGTATTATAAATAAAATAAAATTGCAGCACTAAATAACATTTCTATAATTCCCCCCCAAAAAAAAAAAATTTCAGATAAATGCTGATCTTTGGATCTTTCTATTCATCAAAGAATCCTGATAAAAATGTACTCAGCTGTTTTAAATATTGATAATAATAATAATAATAATAATAATAAATGTTTCTTGAACAGCAAATCAGCATATTAGAATGATTTCTGAAGGATCATGTGACACTGAAGACTGGCGTAATGATGCTGAAAATGTAGCTTTGATCACAGGAATAAATAACATTTTAAAATATATTCAAATAGAAAGCAATTATTTTAAATAGTAAACATATTTCACAATATTACTGCTTTGCTGTATTTTGGATCAAATAAATGCAGGCTTGGTGAGCAGAAGAGAATTCTTTAAAAAACAATAAAAATCTTACTGTTCAAAAACCTTTGACTGGTAGTGTATGTATCACACTCATAGTTGTTTTGGATAAGAATAAAACGTTATGTCCGACGATATCGTGTCTTTTTGAATTTAAATCTAGATTTATTCACATTGGCCCATGGAAACCTCTGTGAACACACTTGGCTTGACTTGGCCAAAAACGTTTTTATTAAAAAGTGTTTACGTATTCTACACTCATGGCACACACACACATTAGGATAGATTCCTACCTACGCTGCGAGTCCCAGTGAAGCACTTTACAGATTCAACTTCTCCTCTTGCCTGGCTCTTTGGCCCACATCACTCACTGCAGAGCAAGACTGTTCTTGATAATGCTGCTGTGAAAATGTGGGAAAAGCCGACGAGGAAGAAGTTGGGGTGAAGCAATCTTTATATTTACATTTACATTTACATTTAGTCATTTAGCAGATGCTTTTATCCAAAGCGACTTACAAATGAGGACAATAAAAGCAGTCAAAACTAACAAAAGAGCAACAATATATAAGTGCAAATGACAAGTCTCGGTTAGCCTAACGCAGTACACGTAGCAAGGTGTATATATATATATATATATATATA